AGGAACAGCCCGTTCCGGGCATGGCGGTCCCTTCTGCCTGGGTTCCGGAATGTGAAGACAGGGGATCCACCAAGCCGAGCTACACAGAGCCCAGTCCTGCTCCATGGCGGCCCCTCTACACCATGTGCACTGCCAACCTCGTGTCTCACAGACGAGATGGGACAGCTTAGGGTGCACCCCAGCGGGCCAAGGCTGCTGCCGCCAAGTAAAAGCCGGCAGAGGCAAAACACGGTGTTGAAAGTCTTTGTTTTCTTCATGGGTTATCAGTTCTTTTCACCGGATGTGCTGGTCCATTTTTCTGCTGTTTTTGCAGAATGCCGGCTGCCCAGGGGGTGATTTACAGCAAACAGATATTGGCTCAAGGTTCTGTGGGTTGTGAAGTCCAAGAGCGAGGTGCCATGTTTAGGGAAGTTGCAATTCAGCAACTTGACGAGAACCTATCTCAAAATAAAGACACAAAAAAGGAGCTGGGGGATGTAGCTCAGTGTGAAAGTTCTGGGTTCAATCCCCAGTACTGCAAATAAACAAGGGCCCACCTGTCCTGAGGGTACTGTCCCGAAAACGTCTCCTTGTGGGGACCTTGCATACGTCAGCTTGCAGCGTGACTGCCCCGCAGCCACCGGAGGCAGAAAGGGAAGACAGCAAGGAGCCTGCTGGGTGCCGGGAAACCTGTGGGAGACGCAGACCCAGCCCGGCAGGGAGACGTGGGTCCTGAACCTCTGCTCCTGCCCGTTGCGGAGACCCACAGGACCCTGCCGGGTCTAGCAGAGAAGGGGCTGTGGAGAGCTCCAGTTGCCTGGTGTGGCTGCCTCACTCTGCTGCTGAGTCTCCTCCTCTTACGCGCATGCTCCTTCCTCCCTGCCCTCCTCTCCCTCACCACTCCCCACACAGAGGCTGTGTTTAGAGTTAGAGGGGACTTGGCCAGGTAAAGCAGAGCCTCTCCTCCTTCATGCTTCACCAGCTCCAGGAAGCTTGGGTCAGCAGGGCTACAGCTGTGCTCCTCAGGAGGCCTCAGGGATGACCTTCACCTGCAGGCCTGTCTCCTGGGGTGCAGCCTTCCTAGGCTCCCACCTGCTGCAGTCTCACGGTGATCCTGCGGTGGGCAGAACAAAGACTCCCCAGAGGCATCACGTGCTCCGGCACGTGGAGCAGTTCTGTTACTGCTGCACAAGGGGCGCCAAGGTCCTAGGTGTGAGGAGGTTGCTTATTGGCTGACTGCAGATGAGGAGGAGGAGTCAGATGACCCAGGGGCTCAATCCCCAGGGTCTCAGTGAGTGAAAGGGAGAGGCAGGAAGGACAGATCCAGAGAAGGGGAATGAGGCCAGCCGCAGAGGTCACAGCAGTGTGAATTGGGTTTTTCTAGAAGGGGTGGGGACCATGGGCCAAGGACACGCACAGCAGAAAAAGGCCAGGGGCGCAGCACTGCCCACATCTGGATCCCGACCCCAGAGCGTCCACCGCAGACTTCTGACCTTCAGGATGTGTGAGAACAGAGTCTGGCTTGCTCTGAGCCATTGCTTGTAATTTGCTGTAATGGCAACAGACTGAAATAGTCCCTGGGTTTTGTGATAACAAAACATGCCTGTCCCATTTGGGCTTTCCTAAACAATGCCTGCGTCAATAGCAGTCTTTCAAATGCCACTTTCTTCTCATTAGGAACACCAGAGAAGTGAGAGAAGATGGGATTCTAGCCACTCACTGTTGCCCTTAATTCTTACACATTAGGTCATGGAGCCCAGGCCCTCCCACAAACAAGCCACAACCTGTCCCCACCCTGGAGCTCCATTGCCTCTTTATCTGTGCCCTGAGAGATCTATAGGGCGTGGTTTCCCGAGGACTGAGCAGGACACTGAAAAGACAAACAAGAGTGAGATTTATTAAAGGCAAAGAAGCAGAGGTCCACTCTGCAGGGTGGGGGTGGCTGGAGAGCAGCGCTCATGGCCCAACAAGGCCAGGCACTGGGTCCCGAGTCCTGGGCTCATGGGATCTATAGCGTGGATGGACAGGAGTTGTGGCCCAAAGGGGTACCTGACTCAGCCCACTGCGGGACGGGGAGTTTGACCATGCCAGGTCTTCAGAAGAAGTGTCCTGGTGTCCAGAGCCCCCGCCCACCAGGCGAGTGAGGCTGATGGCACGGCTGGAGTTGCGTCCTTCTAGGCTCACACATGCCTGGGGTCTTGGGGGACCCAGGGAGCTGTACCCATTGGTTTTCTGATATCTTGACGAAGCTGTCTTGCTCTGCTTGGTTCCTCAGTTCTTGTCCCCCAGCTTTTTTCTGTCTGCCCCTCCTCACTCTACCTCCTGCCTCAGCCTTGCAGCAGCTCCTCCTGCCTGCCCGCCTGCTGCAGCCTGCTCCCCCGTCTCCTTCTTCCTCTCCAGCTCCTGAGGGCTCTTCTCCCTAAGACCTCGATGCAGGGAGGAGTGTGTGCAACCCGAGTGCGTCCCCGCTGGCACCTGGGACAGGACCCTCTGCACAGGTGGACCTGATGTCCCAAGGCCTTCAGCTGTCACCCTTTCCTCTGCAGTCTGCACTAGAACTTGAGACTGGAGCAGCCGCACACTCTCTGTGGATGAGTACTTCCTGTGCACAGCTGCCAGTCAGCTCGGGGATGCCAGCACCTGCCTGCCGGCCTTACCTGCTTGGCCAGGTGAGCACGGCAAGGTGCGTATTTCTCTGCACCTGCACGGAGCTGGGATTAGGCTCCCTCTTCATGCTGCTCCTGGCCCAGTGTACTCTGGCGTCTCCTAGGGGATGTTCCCCAACACCCCACAAATCCCATCTGCTCTGAGCAGATGTGGCACCAGGTGTGCATGGATTCCACTGGGACTAGAGCCCCAGGGCTCAGGAGAGCTTGGAGACACCACCCCCCAAGTTCTTTCCCTTGCTCCAGGATGAAGAGGGGGAACCTGGCAAAAAGAAATACAGGATTCCCGAGGTGCTGTGTGCCTCACACTGGACCCCTGCCTGATGGACGCGGAGGTCTGCCCAGCTCACTCTGCCAGTCCAACCCCAGGGAGTGCCCAGTCTCCACCTCTCTGCCAGCCCTGCAGCCAGTCTCTGAGCCATCTCTGTTCAGAGACAAGTGGGCCAGGGGACAGGGCTGGGGCTGCCCAGACTCTTGTTGCCACTGCAGGTCTCACCTCCCCGCCTGCCCTGGGGCTGCCCTGAGACAGCAGTGATGGCAGTGGGTCCCTCTGCATCCCTCCAGGCCAGGCCAAAGAACCCCAAAGGCGTGTTTCATGCCCCCCAGGCTTAGTGCTGGGTGGGGTGACAGAGAAACTCACAGGGATGGAGCGGCAGCCTCACTCCTGTCCCTCCAAGGCCGCAGGCCTGCAGGAGGGGCACATGGGCCATCGACTGGCATGGAGCATGAAGCAGGGTTTGCCCCTGTCATGCCAGCTCTGCTGAGCCAGGAGGGTCTCAAGTTTGAGCCCACCCTGGGATAGTGACCCAGCAAGACCCAGCCTCAAGACAAATAAATAAATAAATCAGTGGCTGGGGATGTGGAGCAGTTGAAAGGCCCTGAGTTCAATCTCCACCTCCCGCAAAGGTATAAAAAAGATAAATGGCAGCCTCTGTCCTCAGGATGCTCACTAGGAAGAACATGGATAATGACCTGGTGACCACAGGACGCCCCTGTGCAATGTGAGCACAGGTGGCCAGTGCTCGGGGAGGCCACCCTGCGATCAGCGCTTCCCTTGCATTACCCCAACATTATTCATTTCATGTTTTTGGTTTCTGAGACAGGGTCTCATTATGTAGCCCAGGCTGGCCTTGAGCACACAGAGATCCTCCCGCCTCAGCCTTCTGAGCGAGCGCTATGATGTCAGGCACGTCCCACCATGCCAGTTTATTATTATTTTCATGATTCCTGGTCCAAGATGGGGCCTGAGAGAAGGCGCTTCTTGTCCCCAATAGGGTGAACTTGGCCACGGCTTCACGCTGTACTGTGAAATCAACTGCGTTCTTTCCCCCATCTACTCCTCCCAGCGAGACCTAGCTGACGGGGGATACTGAGGCAAGTCGCTTCCGGAGTCGGGGAGGCCCCTCCCGGTCCTGCCCACCTCCTTAGAGCCAGAGTGCGGTCTCATACCCCCCTCCCCACACAGTCTCCAGCCCCCCTTCCTCCGCAGCCCCACGCTTCTGAGAAACCTATTCGCATATCTAATTCTTAGCATTCATATTTAATTATTAAGTACATTTAGACTGTTCTTGCATATTTAATATTTAATAATCATTGCATTTTTCATTGAGCCTGATTCTGAAAGGCCCAGACTAACACAGCTATGGCCTCTTTCTGGGAAGGGGTGGGGAGGGAGGAGGAGGAGGAGGCGGTGCAGGAGGAGGAGGACTCGGTTCTCTTGTCCCGAGCTTTAAAACCCAAGTCTCTTCCCAGACACACAGACCTCCTCATGGCCCCAAGCGTCCATCTTCCCGGTAAACACATTCCTCCTGGCTTCCCGGTTGTCCGTCCGCCCATCGGAACCGGAGCAGGTGCGCAGGCCCACGTGTGTGCGGTGTTCTGGCCTTAGCTTCCCAGCGTCTCGGTCTTCTCAGCGTCCCTGAGCGCCACGGCTGTGCCCATGCGTGTCTGCCGCTTCCAACTCAGCCGAGGATCCCTGATTTCTGCAAAGGGCTCCGGGAAATCAGGACTCGGTGGGGGCTGACTGTCCCGCAGGTAGACTGCGGCCAAGTCGGGAAGTGTGTCTCTCTGTGCTCCTGTGTGTAGGTGTCTCACCCCATGCTTACTTCGGTAACGACATCCTGTCCTTTCTTTTGAACGTGAGACAAATTTTTAGTAAATGTAGAAAGTCAATGGGCCACTTCCTTTGATAACAGGCCCCAGACCAAGCTGTGGGCCCTACTGGCCTAATCTCAGCTTCTCTCTCTTTTTTTTCCCCCCCAAATCTTGGTTCCACACATCCATGATACAAAATTTCAGGTAGAGCTATACTTATTACCCAAGAAGAAACAAGAAGAGTCCTCAGTGCTTGTTGGTTTTAAAGCATGTCACAATTTTTATTTTTCAGTGCACGAGATATGTGTTCTTGTTGCTATGTGAACCTGGTAGAAAAACTAGGAAACCGAATTTACTTGAACATTTGTGTGTTAATGTGGCACTCAGGGAAAAACAACATAATTGTCCTTTATCGGCTGGCATTATTCTGCCTTCCAATTCTCTGCTTAGAAGAACTTCTTGGCTTATGTTTGACCATGCATGGTGCAGACTATAATAAATTTCTCCTAGAGTTATGAGGAGTGAGGGAGATCATCTGGATAATATGCTACAAAATGAGATACTGTCATTACCGGCACCATCATCATTAAGGCAACAGCATTACAAATCTTCTTTTGTGTTTGAACCTTGAATCTGCTGAAAATTCCACAAAACAAATAACAGAAACCAGCTGTTTCACCCTCTTGCTAAGAGAGCTGCATTGAAAAAACAAACAAACAAAAAAAAAAACTTAAGCTGAATCTGGTTCTTAAAGTAAAATAGAATGAAGGCCAAAAATGTTCCAAATGGCATCACTAGGGGCTTTGCACGTGGATGGAGCAATAATGATAAAAAAGAGAAAGAACGAATGAAAGCAAGAAAGCAAGCCTGATTCCAAGGTCACACAGCATTGGGAAAGAGAAAATTTCCCAGGGGCAACTGCTGTCGGCCTCAGAGGGACAGCAAGGTGCCGGGTCTGTGGTTCGCAGGCCCTGTGTGTTTTGTATACGCTGTCCTTCCTGGTGTGCGTGCTGGCTCGGTGAGATTCGCCAGCTCAATTCCATGTATGTGTGGAGTCTGGAGTGTTCACATCTGAGAACATTTCCTGCAAACAAACCAACAGAGGCGAGGATGTTAGATAAAGGGGAAGCAGCCACCTTGCCGTTTAGGGGCAGAAGGGAGCATCTCAATGCAGAGTCCAGTGGTCCGGATGGATTCATTTTCAGCCCAGAGGAGCAGCCACCGGAGCCAGAACCCTGGGCCACCAGAAGACAAAGGCTTTAGAGATGCTCTAAACTTCTACACCCTCTGCACACCTCTGGGGCTCCATTTGGGTTGGTTTTAGAAGCCAGACTTAAAAACCTCATGTTTCTGATCTTACTCTAACCACTGTCAACAACAGGAGAGGGGAGGGAAGTCTTTGTGGACATGAAAACTGGAGATGATGAGTAATCACACAGAAAAGTACAGCCTAATAGCATAATTGTGCCCTATGACTTTGTCCTTAATTCACCATCCTGTTGTCACCTTTCGGAGTGCAGCCACTGTGCCAGATCAGAGGAGGAAGGCTGTTAAGGCTGTCATGTTCCCCCTCCAGGATATGGTGGGTCCCTAACTCCCAGTACCTCAGAATTGACCTTATTTGGAGAGCGGCTTTCTGAGAGCCAGGCCAGTGAGAAGGACATTATCAGCCCTGGCTCTGATCCAGCATGACTGGTATCCACATAAAACGGGGAAATCTGGACCAGACATATACAAAAGCAGAAAGCCATGGGCAGATTGGGGCACAGCTCAGTGACTTGTCTATAAGTTGAGGAACACTGAGGTCAATGAGCAAGCCGCTGGCCCTAGTGATCAGGCATGGGACAGATTCTCTCTCTGAGCTTTGGAAGAAGCCAACCCAGTGGACACCTTGATCTCAGAGCTCAGCCTCCACATCTGGAAGACGGTAAATGTCTGTGGTCCAAGCCCTCCAGTCTGTAGCATTTGTTATGGAGCTCTTGGGAATGGATCCAAAGCATCGCACTGTTGTAGACACCAGCTGACCATAATCAGGCAGGACAGCGAGGACAAGGGATGGCAGCTGCGAGAATATCTCTGTGTAATATTTCTCTAGCTAGCTGAGCATGGTGGCACACTCCTGTAATCCCAGCACTCTGGAGGCTGAGGCAGGAGGCTGGCTGCAAGTTCAAGCCCAGCCCGGGCTGCACAGCAAGACCCTGTCTCAAAAACAAACAAAATACTTCCCTGGCCAAAGCTGCTCTGAGACGCCAGCTCCATTACAGGTGCTAGTGTACACACACTGGAGACGGCAGGAGTACATGGCAGAGGGGCATGGCAGGAAGGGTCACGAGATAAAACTGCAGAAGAAGCCTTTCCATAAATTATTTGAAAGGCACTTGGTTGCCAGGCCTTTGTCCACAGATGAGTGACTTCTGGGGAAGTTACATCTATAGAAGGAGGAAGAGCAACCTTTCTTTCTTTCTGCCACTTTTCCGGTCTCCTTTTCCTTAGCCTTTCGATAATCCAGTGCTATTTGGTGAACCAGTTCACATATGTTTTGGACTCTGTGGTTAGGGAAAATTAGATTACTGTCTTCAAAATGCTTAAAATATAGCAGGAAGCTAAGTGTCTTTGTCTGTTTTCCATTGTGATAACACAGTATCTGAGTCTGGGAACTTACAAAGTAAAGAGGTTTGTGTGGCTCATGACTCTGGTGGCAGGAGGGTACAGACACGGTAGGGCCTCTTGGGTGCAAGGGCAGGAAGAGAGTGGGCCACATGCAGAAGGGAGAGAAAAGCCATGTGGCACAACAGGAAGCAAGAAGCCCAGAAGCCCAGGCTTCCTATTTTTGTTTCTAACAACCTGTCTGTGGGGAACTAATCTGCTCCTACCAGCCCTGACCAACTCTCTCAGTCACGTCCAACACCCACAACTTTAAAGAGGAAAGGTTCATTCTGGCTCACAGAGTGTAGGGTTCCAGTCCTTAACCGGCTGGCTCTCAGGCAGGGGCTGGCAGAGGGGCCTCGCCAAGGAAATCTGCTCTCAGCATGGTGCCCTGGGGACAGAGAGAGACTTGAGAAGCCCAGGAAGCCAAACTGCAGTTGCTCAATGATGGCCTCCACCCTGCCCTCTGGCTCCTCTGCAGAGCTGAATAGTCAACAATAACGAGTTTAATTTAGTTCGTGACATTACAGTCAACGTTTCTAAAGAATCATAGTCAGTCTGAGGCCCTTGAGCAGGATTTAGTAGCAATCCTTTATTACATTTAAAACATTCTCTTCTATTCTTAGTCTTCTCAGAGATTTTTATTTAAAAGAAAATCATGAATATTGTCGAATTTTATCACAATCTCTTTTTTAAATCTGCCTGAGATTTTTTTCTCCTATCTTGTTTATTTAATAGGCTTAGTCAGATGAATAGCTTTTATGACATTTAATCATCATTCATCTGATCCTAGGAAAATCCCAGTAGATCACGAGGGTTATTTTTCCATGTGCTGAATGACAGTTATGCTTTATAAAAATGGCTTCCACAAATCTCCCTACAGCATGGCATCTTCCATCTTCCTTTGGGTGGGGCTAAGGCTCCCTCCGTAGGATTCTGAATGTTCTGTGGCTATGGTGGCTTTTGGTCTGGCCATAAGAGGTGGGATGCTTCTGCCTGCCTCTCTGAAGCTGTATGCTCTGGACCCCCAGCCAGCATGTGGTCAGAAAGTCCCTAGATCCTGCTGAACTTCAAATGGAGGTGCTCTGTGGTCTCCCGCCACAGCCAAGACCCAGCATCCCCAGAGCAGTGGTGGCTGCCATCTTGAAAGCAAGCTCTCTGGTCCTCAGTGAGGCCACTTCCTCGGTGTCCTCAGTGACAAGGGACAGCCACAGGTAGGTGTGCTGTGAGTGTCACCCTCCGCTTCCTTCTCAGTCTTGAGAGCAAAGTGAGATGCAGAAGCCATGTTTGTTATAACTGATAGGTGAAACTTGATTCTGTTTTCTGATATTTTAGTATTTTTGCACCTACTTCCATAAGGAAGATGGACCTACATTTTTTTTTTTTTACTGTCCTTGAAGTTTGATTTTCATGTCAAAGCCACACCATGCTTTCAAAGTGAGCTGGGATGTGTTTCTATTTTTTCTAGTGTCTAACTGTGTCTGGGGAAGTTTGAAATTATTTGTTCTTTAATGTTTGATTTGAAAAGCCCCGCATGTAAAAAGCCATTGGGGCTTACGCGTTTTCTTTCTTTGAGAGAGATTTTTACTCACTGGAAGTTTACCGAAAGGATGGGCTCAATTCTGATTTTCTAAGTTAATTCTTTTGGATTCTCTTAGAAAATTGTTCATACCCTCCAAGTTTTCAAAATTACGAACATCCACACATTTCTCTGTGACTGAGTTGGATCTCCCCACTCATTTATACTTACTTTCTTTCCTCTCTGGTTCCTTACTGAGACTCGACACAGGGTGTTTCTTTGGTCCAATGTTTGGAGAGTCAGCTCTTCATCCTTCTAGCTTCAAAGCCACGGTAAAGAAAACCAATGAACTAATTTTCATTTTTGTTAATGCCTCTTTCCTCCCCTCAGTACTGAGGATTGAAACCAGGACTATTAGCTACATTTCCGTCTGTCTGTTTATCTATCTATCTTGACACAGGGTCTCGCTAGGTTGGTAAACTGTCCTCCGCTCTAACTTGCAATCTTCCTGCCTCAGATCCTGCCTGGCTCACTATTTGACTTTACGTTCATCATTTCTTTCAATAAATATTCCGTATGCGTGATTTCTCTCTTGACTTTTTTTCTTTTTAAAATGCACCCTCAGTTTACTATTTGCTGGCTGCTTCTGGTCTTCTGACCAGGACACACGCTGACAGCCCACCGGGCAGCCGGAGCCACGCCCACTCGCCCCTCCCCTCCCGGCAGCCCCGCCCCTCCCGGCAACCTCCCTTCCGGAAGCGGAAGTG